TACTCTTAAGAGGGGAAAAAGCAACATTGATAAGAGATAGAAACAGAGAGGCCTCCTATCGAAATGAACGACTAACTTCCCTCGCTCTCTCCTACTAATTTTATGTTCAACTATATCCTATTTGAACTAATGATGTTAGTAGTCTGTTACTAAATCTCGAAGAAAAAACTAAGAATTACACAAACAAGTTATTACAGAAGATTAAAGAGGCAAACCCTTTGCACCAGAAGAAGTACAAACAAAGAAGCAAGTCCAATGCATAAAATATAAAATAATCATTTCAGGTTGTCCTTCCCCCTCTCTCTCCTTGTTTGAGGAAAAGATATCGATGGCATTTTCTAACCCCTAAAAAAGGAGCTAAAGTCATCAACCAGGCTATGAAACATTATTAACAGTTACCAACAACAACATGAAATAAGATATGGAGATGTATTTTCAAAAGAATAAGCTACTAATACACCAGAAAATATCAGCCAAGCACTAAGGGTAGAAAACACGTATGTATTAACAGAATCTCTTTGTGAGGAATGACATTTAATTCCAACCAACTCACTTTCTTGAAGCCTGCTATTAGCGTAACAGAAACCCATCCATGTTCATCCATGTTCCGCCGCAAGAATGTATCCTTAATCAAATTTTCATTACTGCAACAAAATATAGGGACAGGAATAGTATATAATACCAATACAGTTAAGACAGCAACTAAGTAAGAGCAATTTCAAGCAAAGAACAAAGAAGTGTCTACCTGAAATAATAATCTATCTGGTTCACTATTTTGGTTTGCAACTGGGGATCTGGCATATGAAAGAAGACAGGTGGCACAGGAGAAAGCATAGGCATTCTGAATGTATCAGGGAGTGGACCTGGAAAAAAATATACAGGTGGTACCTCTGCAAATTGGTTAAAGTATCAGTAGAGCGACATAATGGGGTTTAGTAACTCAGAAAAAGAACCCCAGAAGTAACACATCTCACCAGAGTAAACCATGGGAGCTCGATAGGGCTGCACAGGCATGGTTGGAGGTATAAAAGGTGGGGAAGTATGAGGTGGGCCTCCCATAAATGGCCTCGCTGGAACTCTCTGCGGCTGCATGTGTGCATCCCTATTCCCCCAACCTCTGTGGGGTTTCCAATCCTGATTTCCACGTTCCTGATCACGCCTACCCCCATAACCTTGATGATGCGTGCCATCTCCACGGGGGTGTGGACCAACATTGCCTCTCCTGTTTGAATTTCGTTGATGTTGGTGCTCATTTCCACCATGTGATTGAGATCCAAATCCTCCCCATTGTCCACCATCCCTATGACTATTATCCTTTGAAGATGAATCAGCACCAGAATTACCGGACTTCCCAGATTTATTAAGGACTATTTCCACCTCAGAACTCTGCCCCTGTTGCTGAGAAAAACCACCATTGGCTGATGCATTATGGTTTGAATAACCACCACCGCGCTTCATAGACCTTTGGCGGGTGGGAGCAACATGGTTCAGCGTTGAATTAGGGTTCGCATTGTTCGTATTAGCTTGCCCATGAGAAGATGATGTCATTCCCGTTCCCTATAAAATACCACACATTTACATATAAATGAGCTTTTGGAACAACCATGGACTATTAACTTATACACACGTTAGTCTAGCGTGTGCACGCATAACCAGATAATAAATGGTCACAATATAGGACACATACACAATAAAACACCGAAACTAAGAATCAGAGTTAGGCACAGTTAAAGGCTCGCTTAAAGCGCACTTAAGCCCTCAAGCTCAGTGAAGCCCAGGTTGTCCGCTTAGCCTCGCTTATTTGGAGTTTCAGTGCAGGCATCAAGGTGCTAAGGCGAGTGCAACTTCTTTAAGGGCACAGCAACGTATATAACTTTACTATGGTTTGCGCATAAGGGTCCAACAAACTTTGGTGCTTTTTTGTGATTAATCTAGTCAGGCAGCAGATAGAGCAAACAACTAGTCAACTACTACTACGCCTCAATCCTAGGGTAGTTAGGGTCGGCTATTTTAATCCCCAATATCCATTTCGTTCCATTTAAATGCTTTTCATTAACAAAATCAGCTAGCGCAATGTATACAGAAAACTAGCATTGATGAATGGGGAATAACCTGTGTTACAGAAACTGATACGTCGGAGAGAGCTTTGAGTGACTCGGAAGAAGACGATTTTGGTGAAGCCTTAGTGGAATCGGAGAGAGCAGGCCAACAGACAGCACCCATGACTGGACTAACCTCAGCTGCACCATTTAACGGTTTGTTCCAGGCGGGCTTTTTAGCCACATTGCTGTTGCTGCCATCGCTGTTTCCGTTATCAGAGCTCTCAAGCTGAGCTTCTGTAGCAGCACTACCGGCTGTCGCCCCGTCATCAGAAAGCGAACAATCAGAGGAGTGAACGATTTGCTCAGAATACGCCGGAGGAGAAAGTGGAGGAGGAAGAGGAGGTGAAGAGGAAATCGACACAACTGTGGATTCTGAGTCGCTGCTGCGAACAATCTGCGTCCAAGCCGAGGAAACACCACGCGCAGCGGCTGATGATCGCCGAGACTGGGGGCTGTTGAGACCACCGGCGTCGGTGCTGCTGCCGGTTTCCGAGGTGGTATTCCGGTGAGAATGATGAGCTGAAGTTGGAGCCGGTGCAGCCATCAAAACTAGGGTAAGGGTTTGTTTCTATGGAATCAAAACTTTCCAAAAATAAAAAAGTGATCTCCAAAAATTTAAGAAATTCTCTAATTAGTCTCTATACTTGAACATCCATTAGTTGATTCTCTATTCCTAAAATAAATAATTGAATCGATCAAAATTTTCTACACAGGAGAGTGAGAGATCAAGTTAGATATATAGAATCAGAGAAATTGATAAATGTAAGTAAGCATTAAGAGAGTATAACCGACTAAAGATCAAAAGTCGAAGGTGATTTCGACGATCACTACGCTCAATCAACAGACACACAGTACAAAAATAAACTCACAGAGAGAGGCGAATTTTCTCTTTCCTCTTCTTTTCTCTTCTTTTCTCTTTCTCTCTCCTCTCTCCGCTGGTAGGAGTAGTATTTTTCTTCTTCGCTTTGTAGTATAGAAAAGTCGGGACTGTTGTACAAAATAAATTTACTGAACTGCCCTAGTGCTAGCGTCTACTTACAGCGAAATTCTCTTCCACTTTGTTTGGCTCACGTCCTTGGTATTTAACGAAATACACGTACAGCTCGTTCAAGTCGCTCAAAATCGCTATGGTAGAAAGAAAGACATGAGATATTTGTCGAAGTAAGCTTTTTATAGTAGAAAATTTGATTATTTTGTTTGGTGAAATACAAATGAATGTCCCTATTTATATCAATCACTTAGGGGCTAGCGTATAAATAATAATTATTCCACAAGTACTTCTATATTTATAAATAAGTACACCCTCTAGAATTTTCTACATGACTAGAACGTTACAAGACTTTTCAAAAAAGTCTTCCTACCAAGTCTATAAATATCTTGAACTTTTCCAAGAAAATTCTCCATAATTTTGGAATATTCCACAATGAACTAGTCCCTAACTTATGTAACCCTTCCATCTCGCAAAAATATATGCCAAGCAACACCTGCGTGGCATGATGATGTGGCGGGTCATGACACTCTCCCCCACCCAATTTTGTGCCGCCCTCGGCACACACGTACGCGCGCACCTCACCTTGGCATCGCTAGAGATCTTTGTCCATGAGCCATGATGTCCTGTGAGGCGGTTCGCCTTCCCATGTCACAAGGTACTGGTCACCTTTCTTTTTGCCCCGTTTGTACTTTAGACGACTAGCAATGATGGCCTCGATCCTCCGCCCATCGGATGCCTCTCCTTGCTCTTGGCCTCAATCTCCCTATGACTCAACCAAGTCTATTAGCTTCTCAAGCATCGAGTCCATGCTTTCACTCCCTATTTGGTTGCCCTCGTGGTCCCAGCCTTGCTAGCAAACTTGACCCATCTGCTTGGTGCCTCGTCTAAGTCCAATAGCGTGCCATCACTTTGTAACTCGCCATCCTCTTCAACTATGTTCGCACAACATTTCTTGCTACCACCATGCTCCATTTGCATGGTGCCAAGATAGGCTTTGGAATCCCCTACTTTCGGCTTAGATTCCAAGCTCATCCCCCCAATACAGGTTGTCCCTCATGTGTCACCCTTGTGTTCTTGAGCAAAGTTCCCGATCATTGATGTATGGCTCCCCAAATCTGGGCATTCACTTGCCCGATGTGATCCTTTACAGAAGTAGCACCCTCTCTTAGGCACGTACTCGCTACCGTTTTTCGGCCCTTTGTCGTTTCTCTTTAACCCATGTCTGTTGTGGGGATGGCCCCTTACCATTACCCTTATATACCTCAGTTATGCCTTTCCCATTGTCCTCGTCATGATCTCCCTCGTCCTCTCTCGGCAATGCCTTCTTTGGACTTGGCAGGCTCCATCTTGAAGTCAACAAGCGACTCGGCTACCGTTATAGCCTCGTCCGCATTGGCTACTTGATGTCTTCTTAACTCCTGCTTTGCCCAATTTTGTAACCCATCCATGAAGTAGAAAATGAAATCTTCCTCAGACAATGACGAGATTTGTAGCATTAAGGTAGTGAATTCGCGCACATACTCCCGAATTGTGGTCATATGTCAGAGCTCCCTTAGCTTTCGCCTAGCTTCATACACCACATTCACCGGGTAGAATTGCTTCTTCAACTACTTCTTGAACTGCTCTCACGTCTCAATCTTGCATAGCCCTTTTCTCCATGTCAGTACACTTTCGACACCACCGTAACGCGGCAACCTCGGTCAAGTACATTGAGGCATTGCGTACCTTAACAACTTCGTCATCCTCTTTGTCTACCTCAAAGTACTTGTCCATCATCCAAAGAAAGTTTGCCACCTCGCGTGCGTCCCGTGCACCGCCATACTGCTTTCTTTTAGGACCTTCACATTGGTCCATTTTGCAAGTACCACGCCCTTGGTAATTTCGACCATGGTTCCCTACAAAGCTTCCTTCTAGCAATCTCTTGTATTCTTTCTAACATTCATTTAGTCATAACCTTTGCTCTGATACCACGTTGTCACGTCCTTAGTATTTAACTAAGTACACGTGTGGCACTTGACAGCTCGCTCACGATCTTGCACAACTTGCTCACGTTCTTGCTATGCCAAGTCAGTCTTACTACACTCAAGATCGCTAAGAGAATGGTAAAAAGAAAGACAAGAGAAATTTTCCAAAGGTAGCTTTTTATTGTAGAGAATTGCTTGGTAAGTTACAAATGAATACCCCCTATTTATACTAATCACCTAGGGGCTAGTGTGTAAATAATCATTGTTCCACATGTCTTTCCAAATTTACAAATAAGTACTCCCTCTAGAATTTTCTACATGACTAGAACAATCCAAGGCTTTCCAAAAGAGTCTTCATATCAAGTCCATAAATATCTTGAGCTTTCCCAAGGAAATTCTCCATAGTTCTAGAATATTACACAATGAGCTAGTCCCTAACTTATGTTACCCTTCCATATGGCAAAAATATATATCAAGTGGCACCTACGTGACATGATGATGTGGCAGGACATGACACAGGACACTATTTTCTTATTTATTCCCCCCAAAAAAAGTTTCATATATTTATATTTCATTAATGAAACTTTCTTTAGCTCTGCAAAAATATTCCTATGACCATTTCATCAACCTGTATTCAAATTGTGCCTTTCAATTTTAATAGCATCCCAAGAAAATTTTATAGTATTGATCACAATCACTACTGTTGAGGAAATTCTTAGATATGGAACTAGAACCTATTTGAATGAGCATATTCAACAAGAGAGAAGGGTCAAATTGGTATATCAATGCCGATTCGATCCGAGTTCTTGGAATTAAAATATAACGGATCGCAAAAATCTTAATGATTTTCTTTAATATTATAACTTTCACTAGTTTTATACAATGACACGAATATTATGAGTCTTATGGCATATTCAAAACCAAAAGTTTTAATAAGAACAATATGTCTTAAATTTCATGTTAAGTCAACTTATGCCAAACAAAATGAAATAGACGGAGTAGTAATTTCACTGGCATAGTTTGATTGGTCCAAGCTGGCAATTACGTTGTCACCATTTAAACTTTCATAGTATTATGACTTTAGTTATCTACCTTTCTTGCTATACCTGTAGAGTGTAGATTAGTAAGTTTTCAACAAAAATAATCTTGATCATTTCTAATAGAATCTAAAATTTCGATAATTCTATATTACTATTCGACATTTTATTTAAATCTTAAAAAAATTATATTACAATTTAGCTTCTAGCACAAAAACTTAGTGAACAAACCTATTACATTATCCGTCCAATTCTTGTCACACCTCCTATTTAAATGAGATTATTTATTTTAATTTATAGAGTCGTCTCTTGGAATGATTATTTACGGCGTCCCAAGTTATCATTTATTTTAAAATTCCAATTCAAGAAAACTGGACTATGTTTAAGTTTGCGAATCACAGAAGGCCGGGTAAAGAATTCTGTTAACCCGGGAGAAGGTGTTAGACACTCCCAAATTCTGTGGTTTTAACACGGTCGCTTTACAATCACAACGTGCCTTGATTATCCGATCACTATGTGTTTTAAACCTACGTTCATTTTTACCTTTTACCACTTTTAATTACTTGATTATTAGATTATGGAATTATTTTTTGAAACGGATCGCGTGTGTGTGAATCCGTTTTGTTTATTGTGCCAAAAATCATGTTACGTGTACGTGTACACAATTGATAACACTTTATTATTATTATTATTATTATTATTAAGATTGTTTTGCCCAAAGCTGCGGGAACGCATACCTTGATTTATTTTTTGGGATCATAATTATGTCACGCGAATATGTACATAATCACAATAGTAGATTAAAAGCGCGCCTAAAGTAAATTACGATGTTCATGAGTTATTTATTTTTTACTAAAATTTGAGATTACATGGGAGAGTTCGAATATTATGGAATGAATTATTGTCAACAAGATATATAATTAATTAAGTTAAGTTCAAGTTATTGATGATTTATTACTCATTGAAAATCTGAATTTATTTACGTATTTGATAATGTTTAGGAGATACTAAATTTTAAGATGGGCGGTCATTTAATTGTGAAGGGGAGAATCGACCAAGGTGCTCACATATTGCATTATTGTCTTATTGTCTTATTGTCTCCTAGCGAATCAGATACGAGGGGCGGATGGGCTTAAGCAATAAGCCCAATACCCTTAAGCATTTGGATTATTAAAGCCTTCATGCAAACATCAGTGAATCCAGCTGAAGCGGGCATAGTGGACGGTGGTATTGAACTCTATGTCCTTTTAATCTTGGGCCCAAAATAGACCCTATGTAAGGTCACAATTCCAAACTACAATTATAGCACTAATCATGGACATTAGCTATTACTCTAAGTCTGCCAAATTCAAAACATGTTACATACAACGAGAACACAATTTGCACGTACACTCTGGCCTAAACTAAAAAGAGCTAGTGTTTATTGCAATAGCCACTTTAATTACACTAGGTAATAAAATATATTCTGCTCAAGTTAACAGTACAGTTACAAACATTGTCACAACCCAAAATTCATTATGGGCCGTGGTGGCGCTCAACGTCGTCGTTAGGCAAGCTAACACTTAATTATTCATTTTATTATTTTTAAAAATCATGAATCTTATTTAGATAGAGAGGTCAGTTCATTAAAATAAATCGTAGTCACGTACAGTTTAATTAAAATGATATATAAAAGTGTATCAATGTAAGACGGCCCATAAACAAATTCTAGAATACCCCCAAAACCTATTGTCACAAGTGCATGAGCATCTACTAGAAGGTATAATAACAATAAAACATCTGTCTAGAATACAAGTTAGATAGAAAAATATAAATAATTCTGATGGAGACTCTGTATGTTGCGGATAGAACCATGGGATGCAGCTCACTATAAAGTCCCCGCAATAGTTGTGCCCTTGCGCCCAAAAGGCCACTAGAAATATATATACCTGCACAATAAGTGCAGAAGTGTAGCACGAGAATGCAAATCAATACATACCCAGTAAGTATCTAGCCTAACCCCGGAGAAGTACAATAGAAAGTAAACAAGTATGAG